AGCACCTATGGGAGAAGTCCTGAAAAAAAATCAACATTTCATCGTATTTGTTTGATGGATGATCATAATTATTGATAGCCATTTACATTTATGTTGCACCACCCATCACAAAGCAGTCCCAAACACTTGCAAACTGCAGGTCTGATGTAATGCCGGTGCAGTAGTGGAAGTAACTTCAGTGGATCAAGTCTCCTATATACATAGAACACAGCTGAATGCAGCCACTTCTGGGGTGGAGGGTTATCAGACAGAGACAATTGAATGATTTTAAATGGAACCTAAAAAGGCATTTATATGTGCAGCACTGGCAGCTAGCATCCCCTGCATCTCCACTTCCCATGCCCATGCTTCTATCTGCAAACATCTGGGCTAGAAACACTTTTTAATAAAAATGAAAGCTAAGATTCGGGCAGAATCCTGTGATTTCAGGAACTAAGCTAAACACCGCATTTCATGCAGCCTAAAACACATGCATGGCTGCAGGGAACTCAGTGTAACAACCCCAGACTAGTCCTGACCCGAAAGCCACCTTGATTTAATGCTGAGTGGTCATGTGGCTGCTTTGTGGAACATTTATTTGTGCTTTCCTTTTTTCCCCTTAAAAACCAATCCTGGGACATAAAGTAGCAGAGTGAGTAGGACAGTAACCACACAAACACACAAATCTACCTCCTCCACGGTGCTGATGCTTTCCAGGAAAAAGCTGGCCACGTTCACTATGGCAGAAGTGTGGATTTATTTTTGGGAAGTTTTGCAATGTCCAAAGTGCCTCCATCACTCTTACTCAAATAAGAACCTTTATTTGTATTTATTGGAGAGATTAATAGATTTCTGGCTCAGCTCCATCTGGCTTTGGAGCTAAATCTCCCCTTTCCCCTACCATCATTTTAGGTAATAAAATCCGTGGCCATGCAGTTACACAGACTCTGTCTAGTCTCAGTGCCTGATTCATAGATGGACCATTAACCAATGATATGGATATGCCCAGTGCATTTTGGTGAGTGGGTCGGAGTCCCTGACTGAGCTGCTGAGCTGGAGAAATTTAACTGAGGTAGAATTCAAATAGTCCTCCGTTAGGTTTTAAATCCCACTTGTAATGCCGCAGGTTGCTTTGTTGTCTGCGAGCAAGAGACTGGAGTCCTGATTCTTCGTTCACTTGATCTGGGGCAAATCAGGAGTGATTCCGGGAAAGTCAGTTCAGTGTACAAATAGAAACGAGATCAGAATTGGACCCAGAGACTTAACTGGGACATTCTCTTTTGTAGATATAGTTAGATACAGATTTTGACCTACTTTGACATGTTCCCATCTGGAAGTTTGTTATACCTCCAGGAGATTTTCCATTCCTCCCCCTGCAATCTAACATTGCAAATGCTGGGAAATTGTTTTTAGAAAATTGAGCAGGACTGATCACGAGTCACCCAATCAAATACAGTGCCCATATGTCTGACAGAGACTGCATTAGGAGCTTTTCTTGGGCTGTCTGCATTGTATCTTCCCCCTTCAAAAAGTTTCTGTTTGTTGTAAAGATTTATTTTAAAACAGAACCGAACAGTGGTTCTTGCTCCCCTAGTTTAGAGGTTAATAATCCGTCAAGCAAGAGACTCTGCACTCCTTAGCACTTTCCATCTCTGAAACTCTTCACAAACTATCATCCTCATTGCTCCTCTGGAGGTAGGTGAATAAAGTATTACTACAGAAGAAACCACAGACAGGAGGGTTAAGGCCCAGATCCTAAAGGTATTTAGTGCCTAACTCCTGAAGAGTTAGTGACTAACTCCAGGTCATGAAGGGCATGTCTACACCACAGGGCAAAAGTTGAGTTAAGATACGCAACTTCAGCTACGTCAATTGCATAACTGAAGTCGAAATCGCTTAATTTGGCTTTTGGCACTGTCTACCCAACAGGAAGTCGAAGGAAGAATACTTCCTTCAACTTCCCTTGGGCTACGTCTACACTGGCAGCTTCTTGCACAAGAACCCTTTTGTGGAAGAATTCTTGCGCAAAAAGTCTTCCACAAGAGCGCGTCTTCCACAAAAGCATGTGCTTTTGCCATAGGGGTTTCTTGCACAAGAAATTCATGTTGCCTGTCTACACTGCCCTCTTGCGCAAGAGCTCTTGAGCAAAAGGGCTTATTCCTCGTGGGGAGAGGAATAACTCTTCCAGAAGAAGCCCTGTTTTCCAACGCTAGACTGTAAATTTATTTGTGCAAGAATGCGCGTGCAGTTTAGTTACCCAGCAAGTTTTTGCGCAAGAAGCTGCCAGTGTAGACACAGCCTTAGGGTACGTCTACACTTGCTCCCTATCTTGAGATAGGAATGCAAATGTAGTGTACTGAAACTGCTAATGAAGCGCGGGATTTAAATATCCCACGCTTAATTAGCATAATCACCCCTGGGCGCCATTTTGAAATCGTGTTATTGCGAAATAAAACACCCCGTGTAGCAGCGTTATTTCGAGAGAAAACCCTTCTCTTTCTTTTCTCTCTCTTTCTCTGTACTCTTTCTTTTCTCTCTCTCCGTTTAACAGGATGGAGAAGTCCCGCAGAGGCTAAAGCGGTGTTAGACATCCATGTTGTAGAATAGACTGTTCTTAGCCTGAATTTTAACAGAGCTTTTGAAGCAAGTTAACTCGCTTGAGCTAG